GGAAAGCTCGGGTGGGAAATTCACATACCTCGTGACCTCATCGTTTTGTAAAAGCTCCGTTTCCAAAACAATTTCCGTCTACACGAAACAGGAAGCCGGCGTTTTCAAATTCCTCGAGTTTGAAGAGCGTTTTCGAAAAGCTCCGTCTTCGTGACGGATAAGTGTGGATGGTAGGCCTAACCGTGCTGAGAAATAAAGCTGCGTTTTCAAATTCTCCGGCGCGGTGTGGACGCTGCCTCAGAAAACAGTAGCGTCCGGGAAGGTTCTTGTTTGCACCAGCTCGCTTCCCTCGCCGACTCGACTCTCGCGGCTACACCTTTGCTCGTGGTATAGTGTGTGAGAGCTGAATTGTTGTTACTAATTTTCATTGTAGTTAGGTACATAGTCCAGTAACTTCGGACTGATGGAAAAGCCGTGTATAAATAAAGTTATCTTATTTTATCTTATCTTCGAGTCTGTTTGCAGGCTGTTGTCACATTTTTCTTGAAATATGTGGAAAACACATGCCTGCTTTATTTGGTTTTGCTGCGGTACCTTTTACTAAGGTAAGATGAAAAGCAAAAATGACAAATGAGAGCTCAAGTATCATTAACAACCCGCGAGTCGAGGTCTTTCATCTCTATTTCCTCTCGACCTTTTCGCAACAAATTGAATAATTTAAGTACACTGTTTTGTAGCTAGATTCAGCTAACCTGACTAAAGCAACCTTTCAATATTATCATTAGTTTAAAGTGTAGTCAATCTTTCTACAGATCAACAGCCAACTGAAAGAAACACTATCTCCTGCCCTTACCTAAGTTAATGCGTGAGCATTCCGTTATTTTCTGTGTATGGTCGCATAAGGCGCGTGTTATAAGTAAGGATTTGTCTCAGCAGCAGGAACACTTACAATATCCATTGTAGAGTGGTAGACTACTGATGATACTGGCCTTATTGTGAGTTGTAGTTAGGTCTTCTTGTTTACGCAATGTTTAAATATCTAAGTGATCCTTGTCAGTAGGACTTTCAGGGGCAACAAACGTCTAGTTTTGCATAATGAATTAGTTTCTCACGTGTCACCTGTCTAGTCCTTTCCGAGGGCAAATATGCTAGTTTTAAGAACATCAAATTTCCAAAGGGCAACCATCAGACCGATAGTTCCGAGACATAAACACTGTATTGTCTTTATTGTTCACTACTAAATTTTCTTCCGCGCACCAGTTCAAAAATCATATTGAATTATTTTCAACTTTTTTAGCCGTGAAAGCCAAATGTAAAATTTAAAAAGGAAAATAAACAAAACC